ATAGGTACCTATGCACTTACATAGGTGTTTTTATACCTATATTCTTTAGTATTTAGGTACTAGAAATATCAGCTCGAGAATAGAATCCAGAACTTAGAGCAATGCGATTGATCTAAACACGTTTAGAAGGCTATACAAAGATTTTTAATAATGCTAGTACTGGCAATTTCTCAGAAAAATAAAGCAATACACTTCGACATTTCAAAATAAAAGTACTTTGCCTATGCAAGTTGCAGTTCAAAATATTCCATCATGATAATAGAAGCATCGGTGTGCATTCACACAATTGTATCGTCACGCGTCGCGTACAGATGGTACCAATCACACACTCACTTGATTGAAGCACAATGTAATAATACTTACGGAGGTGGACAACGTCATTCATGTTCTAGAGTTCTAAACTATAAGTAGATGCGGTGATTAAACAAACCTGCAGAAGGGGTGTCTCATTTAATAATAAAAAAACAATTTTGTATACATTTTTTAATGAATATACATTAATAAAAACCACGTCAATACACATACATACATGTTAAAAATGTGAGCCACACAGAACGTAATTAATAAATTGTGCCGTACTCGCGTCCGAATTCTCACACGCGACCATGTTTTGTGATGTAAGTTTGTGACGCTAATTCAGTCACCTTATTTGTGTTGCATGAAGTGACAGAAACACTATTAATAGCCCAATAGATTTTAGTTGTCGTTTGAGCCTTTCGAGTGCGAGCACTTTCATTTTAGACACAAATTTTTATGACTTCATATGACACGAAGCATTGTGCTTAGCCAGCTAAATTATACTTTAGGTACACACTTATGTAAATGAAAGCGATATTATTTATGCAAACTAGAATTAAAACGGCATCAATTTTGGACGCAATCGAAATTCGTGGTTGCGCAATGCAATAAGTAGCACAACATGATAAAAGAAAGTTGTGACTTGACGTTTACATAATGTTCCAAGTCAAAAGAGTGCAAAACCTAAAGACTGCTTCTTTCCTCAAAGATCAAAAATAATACAAATGGAAATCACAATTGGTACCACCTATAAAACAGTGGTGAAAATATATTAATTGTACTTAAAATAATTACATATTCCGATTCAAAGATCGATGAAAACAAATTCATTACATCCGAAATAATATTCTAAGTTAGTTGTGCTGATAAAAATTCATTACAAATTACAAAATACATATTCTATTCAAAAGTGTTTACAAAAGAAAAATGCTCTCTTACCATTCATCTTAAATCTAAATAAACTTTGTTATAAAATATAAAATTAACCTTGAAATAATCTAGTATGGCACTCAAAGCCAAGACGGTTGTCGACGTTAAAAATTCGTAATTTACTTATAACCATTATTAATATCAAATATGTAAGTAAAAAATTACATATAAGACAATGTCGACAGAGGTAAGAGAATGATCATCACAAGTAGCGATCTGATTGTGAGACAGGTACACCAGTAACAAAATCTTTCTGAAAATATATTACAAAAATGGAAAGTTTAAAGGAAAATACTGCAATCTTATTCGTAACTAAGAAAAAGAGATTCAGCATCGCCTCACACATTACATACACAAGTCAAAACGGGAAGGCAGATACAATATTTTATGCTGTATCAAAATGGTTAATCTTATACAATGATTTTAAAATTGAAGCTATTAAAACCGAATGCACATTTTTCATTTTATTAATGAGTAAATACGAAAGAACTATAATCTTATCATAGCTCTAAATATATATAGAAGGTTACAAGGTAGAAACTAAATAATAGATCAAACAGTATGTACACGCAAATATAACAATTTAACATTATGGATCAGAAAAATTGACTAGTTATACCGAAACGGATAAAACAGATTGATTAAATGTTAACTTTCATACAAATAAGTGAAAAACTACCTACGTAGGCAGTAAACGTTTTTAGAAAAGGACATCAATAATGTCTACGAACGTTGTTAATTATTACAATAACTATAGAATTTCTAAACTGCACTTTTTGAACACCAAATATTTCCATATACCCTAACAACAGTTTAGCTAATTAAAAAAATATAGGTATCATTTTTTGTATAACAGTCATTTTTGTAATTTTCTACCTTCAGAATATAAGTAGGCGTTTTGGTCATAAATTGTTATTTTTTTAATGTACGTTAATTTTGTTGTTTAATATGCCTCTACTAAAACAGAATGAAAATATCTTAGTTAAGTCTGAGTTGTTGTTATATTGTCACGTATCTACTTCAAGACATATTAATATTTAGGTATCCATAAATATGTCGTCACCTCCATGGTAAACTTAATGAAATAAAAAAAAATATATTCTGCTTTTTTAAAAAAAGATAATAATTAAAAAATACTAATAGCCATTTTCGTTTAAGGTTTTTCACGTCTCGATTGGGATTTTCTCAGATTTCGTATATCAGATCACGGCTAAACCCCTAACATCAATTTCGTAAGTTTAATTTGATGTAGCGACAAAATAATGCATATTCGTATTATTAGCTTTCCGTAACAGTTAGAGATAGAATTTTGAAAATTGTATGCTTTGTGTAGTACCCCATAAGGAGCAGTTTATTTTATAAAAATATTAAATTCACAAAATTGTCAGATTCGTAAGTTTACCATAAAGGTGAGGATATGACAAAATTTGTAACGACCTCCTGATGCGCCGCGACTTCGCGCATCAGAAATTTTATGATGGTAATCACTTTATCACTGCTTGTATGGTGTTCATATTCATAATGACATTAATGCACAGATTAAATAAATAGAACCAGGAATGCCAGATTATGGCAACTGTGCAAAAATTACATTCGAAAAAAAAAACCAAGACCATGACTTATCGCTATCGGATAAGCACAAGAGTCAGTTATGCCGTAATACCACAGTAACAGTAAACAATGAATAATATGAGTGGCCGACTGTCGGCTTAGTGCAACATACTGTGTGTGTTTCACATTTTGATTAATTCGGGAAAAAATAACAATATCCGACCAATCTAGCACCCAACCTAGCTCCATACACTCGTTATTGCACTGAATTTGAACTTCATAATATAAAGCCGTGACCAGCTTTACTTAATTCATTAAAGCATTAATATTAATTGAACAACACATTATAAGTACAAATAATGAACTTCTTAGTTGCAATATTCGAGAGATTTAGTATTGATCTATTTCTCAGACTTCTCAATTTGGTTGTACTTTTGTGACTGCACAGTTGACACGGTAGCTGGGTAACCGACTGCCAAACAACGTGCAGTGGGTTCGATTCACGGAGTAACTCTTTGTATGATCCACAAATTATTATTGCATAAAAAACTTTAATTATAAATTAATTACTACTGTATGGAGTAGGCAGATAGGTAATCTATAATGACAATAATCCTTTCCTTTTAAGAAAGTTAAAAATCTTGACCACAGTACAACAAACCTTAGTATGAAAGTTAAATATGATTTAATAATTTTGCTTTGGTATATTTTTAGGAGAATATTCCAAAAGTGGCACTTAGGTCGAATAAAAATAAATTGCTTATCTACCTTCTTATTATATTATCATAAGTAGTTGAATAAAAATAAACGCAGGTAGGTAGGTATATATGTAGCAAGCAGCTTTTAAAGTGCGCGAACACCCTGTAAAAAATAGATGCATTAATAATGTTATATTTTTAATTTAATTACTTACAAGGAAAAGGTCAACGGTTTGACACATTCGTTTCGTTGAGTTCACAAAAAAGAATTTAATGGTGAAATACGTTGAATACTCCTTGAACTTCGTCATACATTGGCAAACATTATGACTTGCGGCGAACATAATGAATTAATTAAACGTCGTTTGTTTATACAAAGGCCTGCGCTCGACTTTTCTTCACGAAGCATTTCAAATTTCTTCAATTATGCGATAAGCGTAGTAAAACAATTAATAACTGTATGGGGTTAACTAATTTTGTAGTACTAAAATTACATTCACTGATTCGAAAAGGTTAAATACAACTTTAAAATTACAGTACTTATTATCTTTCATTACGAACTATTAAAAGCGTACGTACACGCTTACGTTGTTTGATGACGTATCATCAAACAACTAATTATAATGTGTTGTTGTTGCCACAAACGTACGACAGAACAGCAACAATTTTTATATATTAAATTATTTAGTATTGAAACAAAAGCAGTTATATTTTTCACGGTCCGTTACATAATCAAAGTTAATAACGTGTCGACATGGAACAGAGGCTGTGAAATTTTGCTTTACTATAATACTAGTACTATTCAATTATATCACGTGTCTCGTCCTTTTTATTATTTTTCTGGACAAAAATGCAACACTATCAATTGTCAAGTACCTAGGTAATCTAGAGCCAAATTATGTTTCGATTATAGATTTAGACGATACTTGTTTTTATCAAATTTAGTGTTGGCTGTCGCACTGAACATGATGTATTTTCAAAAATATTACGCCAAATTTGTCGAGGCCACCATACTTTTACGTAGTCCGATATTGAAGTAGCAAAATTTAATTCAAAATGACGCAAAATATAGAGACTAAACAAAGAAACCTCATTGATCGAAATAAAAAACAATACGATTAGTTCTGCGCGAACTTGTTTAACAAGACAAATCCGTTTCCATAATTTACAAATGATCAAAATGGTATTGATCACCTGTGTAAACAGAGGAAATTTTATAACAAATTGTCTTTTTTAATATTTACTTCAAGTTAAAATATTGCTAATTCAAGTTGCGAATTTTTAAAAGTACTTAGAAACGAATCGAGAATCATACTTACCTTAGCTGTGGAGAGATTATGAATATTATATGAAGACAGGTGTTAGTGTTAGTGGAGTTAGAAAAAGAAAGGGACAATTATTTACACATTACGTACATATAAAGCGAGGCCAGACGTCACTGTAACTAGTTACGTACGCTGGAAGCTGCGTGAAGGATCTTTACCTTTATGAGCATTTAGTAGATGTCTAGTACAAGTTCGGCAGTTATCGCTGCTTTCTCGCCGAGTCGCCGCGGGCGGTCGGCGTCGGTAACGTTGGCGGTTCCACGACAGCCTGCTCGGCGGCCACATCGACAACGACACGTTAGTCAAGCAAAGCGTTAGATACCAGCAGACAGTGTTAATCATACCATGTCACTAGACTATCGATTCATTCTAATTCGTATTATTTTAATTTCAATTTGTTAACGAAATTACTAATTACTATCATATCAATTCAAATTTAAAATATCTTTACCTTCATGTTTAACATACACGTGTAAGATTCGCTGTTTAATTGTCTTCAATATATTTAGGTAATTATTTTAAATATGTACATTATACATTATCAAAGTAAACGAGTATTGAGATTTTACATGTAATGCTGATTGCTTTATGTACGATTATTTGTTTAATATGGGCACTCCGACTATCTAAATGGTTTGTAATAAAATAATTTTATTGTATAGTTAGTATCGAATAAAATTCGATTTTTATTACAGACCTATATTTTTAACAAAGGTACTAGTAAAATTGAAAGATTAAAAAATGTTAAATGTGATACTTTGGTCTATTCTGAAGGCCTGATAGCCTTTATAAATGCTGAAATGACCACCAGGGTGGTTTTAATGAGGGAGTAACTATAGGAGAGAACCCACCTCTTAAAGCAGGAAAACTTTTTTTAAGCTGTTAACCAAAGCGACAGACGGAAACAATCGTGGGATAATATAAACTTTGAACTTAAACAGTGATTATTTATTTTTGTGATGGTCTTTGTCATTTGCGTTTCATCTTTTGTTTCTTATAAGGAAAATAATATGTCATGAAATCGTGAGTAATTTCCTACATTTAGCTGTTTACATTGCAATATACGATTTATATTTTGTTATAGATTCGTGGCATTGACTTGTGTTTCATCCTATCAGTGGGTGGGTAGTACCCACAAATGAAAGTTTGTTATTATTTTATTTTTAAGTCAGTGCTACAACAAAAATAGAACATAAATAGTTTCTTAGTTTTTATTATACGAAATGTAGTACCCGTGATAATCTATCGTTTCACCTTAATGTAAGCATTCGATTCAGTTACATTAAATTAAATGAATTTCTATAAGGAAAACGTAACATATATAACTTTGTTTCTCGCGTTTGTTGAAATCGTCGTACTAGTTAATGATAATAATAGGTATATGAGATAAAATGTCAAAGATTATTCTAGATCATGTTTAATTACGAAATGTCATAGGTGATCTGATAGGCAAGTTCGTTTTAAAATATGACCTGCGTTTATCACAATATTAAATTGTGTTTGGTTTTATACTAACTATAATTAGCGCGGTTTATTGTGCAATTTAACTGTTTTTGTTTATGAATTTGAATAAGGAAAATTACTGCAGGAACCACAAACCAAAGAGTTAGCCATAAATAGCCATAAATAAGTATTAAATAGCTATTATGTATAATGACTCGACTGTATCCCACATGACTGAAATAAATCTTTATTATTTTTTCTTTAGTAGCTAGACCCGTGCGGTTCCACCCGCTACTAAGCTCCTATTCTTCATAACGTGTTTGGTCATAGATAAATGCATTATCCAACACAATTATTCAAATCCGACCAATTGTTCCAGAGATTAGCGCATTCAATCATATATAGATACCTTCTTTCGACTTACGGTGAATTAACTACCATGAACATGAACCTTGATGTATGTGTTTCTTGAAAACAAATAAACAGCGAAAAGACAATACAATATATGAGAGAAAACTATCCATGCCTCATAAAATAGCTTATTTATTATTTATGTAACTTAAATCATGTTCTGTTGTTTCAGATTTATACTTATCACTCGTCGAGCATAAAGTGTAACCAGAAAATTCGTTTTTGGCATAGATTTCATAGATATTTACTTCGTAGTCTAATGACATGCCATGAGAGAATGTAACATATTAACAATAGATTAGTGTCACATAAAACATGAGCCCTCAACCACACACACTGCAAATATTTTTAAAATAGAAGTACAGATAGTGTGCTGTGAATATATAAGAAATATGTGACATAAAAATGCATCGCTAGATTATTACTCTACTTTATCAGTTCACATTTTTTTCCAATCATTTAAGAGGATTAACTTACAAAAATATTATAAAATGTTGTACCTTTTTTATTATGAAATTTGTAGTGATTACTGAGAACTGATAAAATCGGAGTTGTAGAAACGTATTAAAGCTTTATGTGAGTAATATGTGCCTTCTTACCTTGGAGATGTCAACTCCAGTAACTCCCTTGACAAGTTCAGGGATGCATTGTACAATATTGAGGACTTCTCCGGTAAGTTTAGCAGCGCCGACCTCACCGCCGCCGCAGGAAACCATGGTGACCTTACGGGCTTGTGACAACGGAGCTGCTACCTCGGCGGCCACCTAAACAACGAACGGAATCAGTTGTATAATGTACCTTTAAGTGGAAAACCTCTTTCCATCCAGTCAAACTAGACTTTTTAATACCAGTATTAACTAACAAAATAATGTATATTTTTATACGTAAATAATTATTTGTAGAATGACGTAAATAAAATATATATTTTTATAGCAATTAGTCTATTGTTTTCATTTCAAAGTTTTCACATTAATACTGTTTACCATTTACTAACAAAGCGAGCAAATCTGCCTATTGGAATTTAATTACACAAGATAGGAAAGCGATATCAGAGCAATTAAAACGTAATGACGTCAGGTACTCACCTTAGGTAAAGTCTCGAGCATCATGTCGACCATGGCAGCTGAGCCGTACTCTTTCCACGCCTCCGCTTTCTTAGCCATTTGTTCCGCATCAGCGACTGCCTTTGCCTTGATAGCGTATGCCTCCGCCTACAAAAATATATCATGAATATCCTTCCTGCTAATGTTAGAAATACGAAAGTGTGTGAGGATTAATGGATGTATGTTTGTTACTCTTTCACGTAAAAATTATTGAACCTATTTGGATGAATTAGGTTATAATCTGAAATAACACTTGGAGTAATGTTTATCCTAGAAACGCGGGCTAGACCTAAGTTATACCTCTAAATAAGATAATAGCATGTCATAATCTCATTTACGGCGCTCATACCAGCTCAAATCAGAGATATGACCATCAATTTAATTATTAGTCTAATCTTTAAAAACAATGTATAGTAGTTTAAAAAAATCAGCATTATGTACTTAGTGATATCAATTTTCACTATCTGAAATTGCGTGCATAAAGAGTGACAGCGGTTGTATCGTCAGAGATAACTTCACACGTTACTAACGCATAGCGAATAATATGGGATTTATTAATACGTATTCGCTTACCTCTCCGCGGACTTTCACAGCCTCGGCTTCCGCTTCAGCCTCAAGCACGGTTTTTAGCTTGTGAGCCTCAGCCAATTTCTCCAGCTTGAACTTCTCGGCTTCTGCAGGCCTGCGTAACACATTAAATAAATATACACGTTGGAATGAACCCCAAGTCGAAATCACTAACATCAGTGAAAGAAGCTAAAAAATGTCAAAGATATATTAAGTGAGCTGAAGATATTGATGGATAAGATAGATAGAATGATATAAACTTTATTGTCCATCAAATAAATAATTTACAAAGAATAAATAGGGTACAAGGGCTGCCTTATCGCTAAGAGTGAAATTTATTTATATCTAACAATAACAACACCTTAATTAGTGCATTAATTTTGCATAAAAGGAAGGACAATGTAAATGTTTATTAATTTCCTCAAAACTTGCAAAACAAACATTACCACCTATCATACGTAGACGAGGAAAATCGTATAGGTACCTAATTTTCACAGTAAATAGGGAAAACTACAGTATTGAGGTTACAGAAGGTTTATTGCGCACATTTTCTTGGTAAATAAACCCTATGAGAAAGTCGCGGACTGCATTAGGATGACGTGACTATTCGCACGCATCAAGGATAAACGAATAAATAGGTACTTAAATCTCTAGCTAGAACTTTGCAAAGGTTTTTTTATAACCTTTCACATCTAGATCCTGAACCAAATAGTATTCTGGTAGACCGTCTAACATTAAGATGGTGAATACTTTACTAAGAGATCTGTATCAAATAAGAAGTACTAGGATATCATACCTGCGCACAGTTGCGTCTAATTCTTTTTCCTTACGCTGTACTTCCCATTTCTGTACAGCAATTTCCTGAGTACGTTCAACAACAGATATCTGCATTTGTTCTTCCTTGATGCGTTGTTTTGTTTTAGCCGCTTGGAGTTCGTAGGCCATCTCTGCTTCAGCCTAAACATGTTTTAATTTAACGTTAGTTTCAAATACATAAAGAAGTTAAAATCGTCACCATTTAAGTGTAATATTGTTTGCATTTTTTATATAAACACTATTAAACGTTTTTGGTTTGAAGTGGAAATTTACTACGCACTATATTAATAGTGCGAAGTAATTAAATGTCATTAGATAAAAACATTTACTTATTTATAATTTTATTTTGTACCTTCTTTGTTTGAACTTCAACGTCGTAGGCGGCTTTCTTCAATTCGAAATCTCTCTGAGCTTTCGCGATTTCCGTATCGTTGAGGAACCTGGCAGCCATGCGTTGTTCCTCAGCCATTGCCTCCTTTATCTTGGCTTCTGCTTGTGCCTCGGCCTCACCAATACGAGCATCACGCTTCACTTCTGCTGTACGCGCCATACCAAGCGCTTTCAGATACCCCTGTACATAAAAACATATTTATCAAAGAAACATATTTGTACGAGCAGCCTGGGTGCCTTTACACACGTTTCGGTTACCGGTTATAAATCCAAGTAGGCACTAAAACATACAAAAAGTAATTAAACTAGAAAGTAATTCATTTTGATTTTAGTAATAAACTTTCAACAAATCGCTACCTTACTTAATTTTTTACAAAACATACTAGCATTTAACGAAGTAATTTTAACGGCAATTATGTTTTCTTTTAATCTAGTTCTTAATGAATCGTGTTATCGCTTCAGTTTTTCATACATAATACTTTTTATGACCAGGTTTTCACAAGACTTGAGTGTGTTAAATATGGAAAGTTATTTATATTATAATATCGTGTTATTATGTATAATTATTCAGAAATTAAGAATTATTCATTCAAAATCGTTTAAACTAGAATACAGGAACGAATAAAGTTACTTTTTAAACTGGTAGTGGTTACTTACAATGCAGGTAATTGAATTGAAGCGAATGAAAAGTTAACCTTAATGAATCTTGTTATTTTAACAATTAAATAAACAATACATACTTGAATGACATTTTGCTAACAAAATCGATATCTCGTGTAATGGTACTTAACAATGCATTAAAAGCGATTAAACAAGGTCTAAACATTAAATTGCTGCATTTGTGAATATTTAAAGCCAATGATTATGATGTAAGGATCAAGTTAAAGCCGATAACGTAAAATTCTTAAAACAATGCATAGACTTCCATGTAGTGTATGTTTCGACTACAGTCCAACTTTTAGAATATAAAAATGTATCGTGAAAATTTTAATCAAAGGTGTGAAAAATTCTTTAAAATTAAGTACAGGCTTCTCTAACCAAATAGGTAAATGAAAATTCCATACATCTTGTGAATGGTTGTGGATGCATTTCTAGTCACAATGTTTAGAGAATAAATATAATTTATATTGATACCCTATTTATTTACATTTTTCGTTGAAGATGTTAATTACAAAATCTTTCGGATTATCAACTTAAATGTCGCCATTCGGACCTACTAAGCGGATTAAAATATAATGTACTTAATATAGGACGTAGCGTTTCCTGATCACATTAAATTGATTTTATAATTATATTATCTTGAGCTTTACGATAATATGTCTTATCTAAAATAAGACATTTAGGAGGGGAAATTTATAAACGATAGTTATTATTAAAATATAGCATTTATATTTTATCCTTAATACAATATGGCTGTCTAAACCATTAATGAATCGTGCTGGTAATCTGGTGATTCCCTATCCTTTTTGTTAGAAGAAAGTTTGAGAAAGTCGGACTAGAACTACGTTAAACAATAAGGCAACTTGTCATACTGGGAAGTGTGGGAGAGCCAGGCTTCGGCAGGAATGGGCCGGATCGACCGGAGTGATACCACGGAAACCGACGTGAAACAACACTCGCATTGTGTTTCGGCGTGTGAGTGAGGTTACCAGAGGCACAATTACCCCTTCTCCAATCTCCGCAATCCCCGAATCCCCAACAATCCTCAAATTCCTAATCCACAAAAAGCCGGTAACAGACTTGTAACACCTTTTGTGTTTCGGTTTATTCCATAAAAAAATCCACATAATCTCAATAGTGAGTGTGCCATCGATATTTTTTATCCAAACATACTTATTACTAATGACAATTTAATAATGGATAATTATAGTATACATTTCATTATCATGCATGGATATCGATCAAAACGCATTATAAAGTGCAAGGTCGATTATTGTTATCATTTTAGTACTGATACAATTTGAGTCGATTAACATTGCTGTTGATATATTAAAATGATATAACCGAATTCATGTTTACAATAAGATTTAATCTTTAAAATAAAGATAAAATCGTAGATTGAATAACTGATTTTGTGTACTTTCTTTTACTGTATTGTTGATGCTTTCGATTCTAAATATTTTTTTGTTGTGTGCATTGAAAATCGTTGATGCATTAAGATATCGCATACCGTGAGCAATAAATTTCTCGGATACGATTATAATCATGGTCGTAATCTCAATCATATTTGATATATTATTATTAGTGCCTTAAATGTGAATGTTTGTTACTTAACCTTTAAAGAACAGTTCAATGTATCGGAATTCACCCAGAGGTGACTAAACATAATATAATCTTTTATTAGTTTTAAGAAATATGTCGTATTTAAATACAAACAACAATAGATTTCCCGCTAACATTTTGTTTAATAAGACTATAATATTATGCATAGTGATGATAGACCGCATAATGACACTCGATGTTACCACTCCCCCATGACAAGACCCTTGTAAAAACTGAGAAAGATAAAGAAATAACATATCTAGACTTAGATCACGAGATTGTCCACAAGTGGAGTGTGGATTCGGCTATCATTCTACCGATAATCGTGTCGGCCAGGCCAACGGGTTAATCCCTAAAAGCCCCGACATCCATCTTAGGAGGCCGGCGTTAGGAGTGATACAAAAGGCAGTTCTCTTAGAAAAGGCGCTTATCATAAGGAGATTTCTGAATTCTGTCTCCATCTGTAGCTTGAACCATGCTCCCAATACTGGTCAGCTATTTATTATATATAATGTTTTATTTTTATTTTGTTAAGTATTTAAAAATGTAATTTATAGAAGTTTTTAAATAAATGTGTGGATATATTATATACTTTTAAATTAGAATAAAATGGATAGGATTTAACTCGTCGAGTACCGGTTTTATAAACACAATTAAAGAACAATGGGTCGCGGTCACCGGTGACCGCTTGGTATTTGACAGTTTAAATCTAATCACAAACTAGCATTCTCAAGCGAATTATCCAATTTATGGCTAATTCCCATTGAAGTTATTAATATAATTAGTTTTATTTTCTGGCATCTTAGTCTCTATGCAATGTTTGATTTTGAATGAAATCAAGACTAATTGCTATTTAATTAAGAAGAAATATGTGACACAATGCAGATTATACCCAATAAAACGGATGACATAATAACCTGATTAACCATTAGTTATCACCGTTCCTATCAGCCGTCTCTAACGACTGGTTAAACAATAATAAAATACTAATGATTGTTAAATCATGTAACTAAACCTTCACAATTTTTGTTTGTTGGTTGTGCAATGACAGCGCCATCTAGCGGTAGTCAGTGATTTCGTTTATTGTGTACGTAGGTACGGTACATACGCCACATATTAAACAAACAAATAATATCAATATCACTACGTAATTTAACTTCCATTATATTTGATTATGTAAAAGTATATCTATCTATAGTATCGATTTTATATCCCATGTAACATGTACACAACATATATATGTAGATTTTATGGTGTGTTGATTTTAACGGCTGATTTATTATTTATTTATTTATTTATTTCTTCTTCACAAAATAAGGTGAATGGCGGACTTAATGCCTTAAGGCATTCTCTTACAGTCAACCGATTTAAGCGGAAATTAGAAAAAAAATAACCAATCAATAACCTAACGCATTTAATGTCATCATTTATGACTGTTAGTGTCGTTAACAATTCAAAGGACGTGGTTTTTGGCGTATAACATGGACAAATTAATTCAAAAGCTAGATTCGTAACAATCACACGACATCACTTACCAACCACAAACAACTATAAAAGATAAACAATTGGTTTTGCCTTAACGCAATATGTAAAGTAAAGGAAATCAATTGTGAAGTGAAGATCATGTGAGCATGAAGAACAATATTGAAGTTTGTGTAATTCGTCAAACTTCAGTGACATTGACGCTATATAAAGCATCATAGAACGTACGTAACGTTCGTTTTTTCAATATATGACTTGGTAGCCTACGTAAATCATAGTCATCAGCACACTTGTAATTATCCCACTAAAAGCTTCTTCTCTAACGAAGAAGGAATGATTATTAGGTATTCATCGCGCTTGTTCTAAGTGGAGAATGTACATAACAATTTAAAGAATTACTTTATTCAAGTTTGAATCTAGTGATTATATTACAAGTACAAAATTAGGAGATTGAGGGACTCGATCACCCCAATCCCTGAATCCCAACAATTCTCAAATTCCCAATCCCCAAAAGGCTGGTAACGCACTTGTAACGCCTTTGGTGTACCAGGTGTCCATGAGCGACGCCGATTGCTTACCATCAGGTGATCCGTCTGCTCGTTTACTAGCTTATCTAATGAAAAAGAAAAATATAGATGTGTAGAATCAGAGTGACATATTAAACATATTTGCGACTCTGCTATACCAACGCACATTAATCATGAAGAAAACTACTCATAAACCAGCAAAGAACAGTAATGAAGAGTCGAGTTAATAAAACAGATGTGTTTTATTAACTTTTATTTTTTTCTGTTTCGACATGTAATTGGCAGTTTAAGGAATGAACTTGTTGAACAATGTTGAAAATCATACCCTAAATTTGTTCTTACAAAAATAGTATCTAAACATTGGAAATAAGGTCTATAATGTATTTAGTGGAGAGCTGCCACCGCTGACCGCTTGGGGATGTACAGGTTAAAACAATTACACAAGCCAAGGCTGGTGTAGTTTGGAAAGCATAGACTCAATTTGGAATATTACAGAGCAAAAAAAGTAAAGCTAAACAAATATGTAAGATTTGTACCAGTTGGTACTAGGGTTTGTGCCAACCCCAGGGGACAAAGCGAGTCGATATACACCGACCAAATCAATATCAAATAACTAATGTGGATGGTAAAGTAAAAGATATTCCATGTTTCCAAAGTACCAATATCTGCGGACCTCTAACTGCACAAAAATCCATTATATACTAGATCTAAGAAACTTCCTTCCTATAATTTTACACCAACAATACTATAAAATAATTAATCTAAGTAATTGAACAGGTAATCTTTGTTATTTTTAGTTATATGTACTATATCATGTAATTATTTTCCTTGTAACTCGTTGATTTACAAATATTCTATATTACAGACGATTTGTATTTCTGTCGTATTATTAATTAAAAAACACTCTTCGATAGGTCATGTATGCTAATGAAATATATAACATTTAATTAGAATTAAATTGTCATTGATCAATTTAGGATTTAATTCAGTTGTGCATCTCAATGTACTTTGAGAATTAGTCTTTAAAAAGGCTTACTTACTAACTCTTTGATGAGGATCTCGACTACTTTTGAACCACGCAATGACTGTGAAAGGGCTCATATTCCCGTGTCCTCTTTCAGCGAAGCAGTCATGCTAGCCAAAATGGAGACGGAACGCGTGAGGGACGAACCATCTCACGTCGCGTTAGACACTCCAGGCTACGAAAATTGCGAGACGATCTCTAGCCATCGTAAGTGCGGGTTTACGGACGGCGAGCAAGGTTAGCTCGCTGCCGGACCAGAACCAGACCCGTGCGTTTGGCTCGTCATCACAGATGGGGCCCAGTAGGGCTGATTTCTGATACGGACCCGCTTAACGGGTTACCAGGGCTCCAGCTCGAAAAGCAGGATTAGGAACGGGGTGGTTTCTGTAAGTCTGACACTCTCTCTCTCTCGCCGCACTCAAGGCGGGAGAAGTTATTGTTTATTATGATCCCCCCCCCCTTTAAAAAAGGGAGCTCATATTCAATGCGCGACACACGACAAAGAGTTACATGAGTAACCGGCGTACTCAAATTATTCAATGGTTACTTAACCGAGTCTTTAGCAATATTCGAGGAACGAAATCGTTCTCGAATACGGACGTAGTTTAAGTAATCATTACATGTCTCTTAGTACGGCAGTTAGCTGTTAAACATAATAATAATAAATTTAATGTCAAATGTGAAATTCTAATAACATTGTTGTACCAAGTCACATAGAAAGGTAAAATATCAATATCCAAATAAGTTAATCTTCGAATTAGGAAGAGTTTAATGGCATATATAATTATATGAAAACGAATTGAGATATGTAAAAGAAGTAGTTATATAGGATAGAGGCGATGGATGCAAATGCATAAATAGTTAAGCTGTCCGAAAGCAAGAAAAACACACAGACATGATTACACTCCGCTGAAGCCATCCTTATATTTAAACACACTGGTAACTTAATTGTGAAAGTACCATAAGCAACATGAGTACATAATTTTAATATATGAATGGGTTGAATCCAATAACTGCTTATGTGAATGTTGAGATGTCCACTTAAGTCGTTTTAATTTAGGTCGCATTCTTCTCTTAAAAATGATTGGTCAGAATTGGCAAGAAAATTGCTTGTCAAGATAGAACCCCGACACAAGCATGATTCAAGAGGGGCGGGTCGCAAAGAATTATTGTCACGCAACACTATTTCACGACCTCGTGAACTAATTCTCGCAGTAGGGGACACACCTTAGTGACTTACTTCAAATCGATACCAAAACATTTTAATGTCAATATTGGTAGCACGAAACCAGTACAAACTATAAATGTGGTTTATGTACCTATGGTTATAAAAAAATGTGCAACAAAATTCATTGTCAATAATAACGAAAGTAAAAAAATAAACAATAACCTCTAAATTGGCTTGTCGTATTATTTGGCGTCCTCAATTAAAACGAACATTGATGACTGGCCAGGATTGCGGGAAAGCTGTATGACAAACGTGCGTCGCTAATAACACACGCATTTCTTTGCTTTTTAGAAAGAACAAATAAATAGGACATGCCGTAACAAACTCCATATGGCCAAATTGTAGAGCAAAGCCAACCAAATGCCACACAATGATAAACTCATCCAATAGCTACATCAGATAAAGGTTGACAATACTTTCTAGTGTAAGACAATATTATGGTCGTTAAAGCCTGTTTTGAAGTGGCATTTATGATATTGTCGTAATATGTATTTAATGAGACATAAAAACATTCAACACCATTTTAAATCCTACATACCTTAGCTTCCTGTAGCCATGTCGAAAAAAAATATGTAAAACTAAATATCTTTAACATAGGTAAAAAATCAGTGTAACATGTTTTGTGAATTAGTTTACCATGTCTTATGTAAGAACTTTGATGACTTTAGTGACAGCGACTGAAGTTTTAAGTGTATCTTTTATGACCTTTGAATTAATTCATTTGTATTATCATATGGCAACTGGTGTTAAGTTGAGAGGTAATAACCAAAGTTATTTGAAAAGATAACTTGGATAATAATAAGGTAAACAAACATGCATGTACCTCTTCATCTCTGATGTCTTTCAGCGTGTAAGACACTACGGTGATACCCATATTGATGAGGTCACTTGAAGCCACTTCAAACACCTGAAATGATATACAAAGTGATTCAATAACAACCTAAAATCTTTAATACAAAATAACTTTAAAAATAAAAGTAATCAACGAAATAACTGAAAATAAACACTATTTCAAAGAACTGGATAATTTCATGTGTGTAGTCAATGATGTTGAAAAAAAAGCCGGTTATTATATTTCTTAGAAATGATTGTAGCACAAAAATGTCAGTGGTTCTTTATGTGTGTATATTTTCTTAAGTATGGTCACTACCAGACCTTAGATAATGTCAATAGTACTTCATGTCAATGTGTTTATGTTCTGTGTGTAACTCTATAGTAGCCAGGTGTCAGTCGTTGTTTCAAGAGATTGTGTCTACCTTTTTAAATGTCATTTGTGTAGTGTATGTATAACAATTTATACTGACCTTTTTAGAAAAGATCTTTCTGTCTTTATATATCTCTTCTACCGTCATGGAGCCCATAATAGCACGCTGATGACCTTCCAGTGTCACCAGGGCTATATGTTGGATCTCTTGCTCACTCTTGCCAAGGAACTGCTCGCACGCAGAGAGCAGCATCTCAGCGTTTTGACCTTGAATTTTGACCTGAAATTTTTTGACCCAGGCATTAGAAGGGTATATTAAATAATCATTTTATATACAGTCTACAGACTGACATATTTTAAAATTACTTACAGGCTAGCCTGTAAACAATATATGGGTAAGATATTTTATTTACTTGGTATTTACAAGATACACATAATATGAGTTCTATAAATAAAGGTGTATGGTGATTACCTGTGCTATTCCCGTCACAGATATAGGAACACCCTGACTGGTATAAACAGTTGGGGATTCCACCTGTAGGGTCATAGTGTTCAAGGAGATTCGTTGCACATTCTGTATAGCTGGCCAAACAAATGCACGCCCACCCGGCACCAGCAGTGGCTTTGAGTAACAGCATCCTGTATAAATCAAAGCCTTACTTAAAATGTATGATGGTAATGTCAAGGTTACAACACAATAGAACGTGAACAGTAAATATTTTCGTAACTACGATCGAACTAGCTATCGGCGCTCAGCTATTATTGCTAGCTACATAACGACCTACACTGTTATGTAATTATTATTCTTCTGAATTACAAATAAAAGATAGTTCGAATGGTCGATAGATTCGTTAAAATGACTTTGTTTTATATAGAGCTAAGTTCGATATATATCATTATAAATATAAGTACATAAAACAATATTTACACTTGCTATTGCGTTTCCGTATCCTGTACACACGATATTAAATCTAGCCTACTAATCTTTTAATAGCCAATAGATAAATTTCGTATTCATCATGGAGAAAATATGTGTACATATTTATTGTAATCACAAATGTTATCATAGTTATCATTTGCATGAGCTCTCGAGTTTGAGTTATCAATTCGTCTTACTTTCGTCATTGGCGAAGATAACGAATATATTGTTCGCATTGCATATTTATTAAGATTCTACACAAGCAACAAAAAGACAAGGAAGATAGCAGTTGGTCTTTGAGATATTTAGATATGTCGATCAAAAAAGGATAGCTGTATGTGACAAAAAAGGCAGAAATACAATACTAAATATCATACAGATTACTCAAAATTGTCACGGAATTGAACCGTGACTTGACGCTCAGCAGTCAACTATATTACCCTTTCACGCAAAATACACGCCTTTATATAAAGAAAGAGTACAATAATCAAAGATTAAATATCTTGAAGAGAGAAATACATTCCACCAAGGTTTTGAATCTCAAGTGTGTTATAAAATAAACATGTGCAAGATTAAGCAAAAATAAACCAGTTGCTGTTACAGACAAAGCAGATATCTATTTTAAGGAGTTGGTCTGAATGATTCATGAATAGTCTATGCCACAGAATCATAATCTGTGATGTATGCATAATATTTAGGTATCATTCTAGTATTATACTAGAACCTATATAGTCTCTCAATGAAGTCTCATCACAAAATTATTTATTTATTAAATCACGACTACTTTAATTTTCAAAGGTTTCGGGAACTATTTTCAATATCAATGACAATGTGGGATTGTGACAATGGTATTAGGTATTTGTTTGTTGAACATAATGTTTTTTACTGTATTCATTTTGGTACTACTTTGGGTAATGAGACATTGTCATTATTTATTCTTTAGATATTGAAATATTAAATACATATTGAAGATGTGCACAGCATAGGGTCACAAAAGCTAGAAGTAAAAGTAATAAACAAGCATATGCAAACAAGACATGAATTCAAGCAGTATCAGGTTCCATAATAAAGTCACATCCTTTATTCCCCAAAAGGATATTCATCAGTTATGTTCTAAATCCCACATAATAGGTAGTGGAGCAATCACCATGGAAGACTAAGGGTGAGGTCTTTGTTGAGCAGTGGATGTATTCTGGCTGTTGATGATGATGAAGATGAGGGAGTGGAGCAACCAGGCACTTTCAGAGAGGCACAAGAATTTTCTGAATATTTCTAGATCTCAACTTTATTAGGGAATTGAGTCAAGAGTTGACTTGATAGCCAAGCTTGTCATCACTTGATGGATGAAGTAAGTAGTAAGTCACCTTAAGTAATCATTGTTTTTACTGTTGGTTATTTTTAAATAACTTGAAGATAAAAAGTATGGCTTTATAGCCATGATCATAATTATGTTTATTTTTAAATAAAAGATAAGCAACAGAATAAGTTGAGGAAACTTATAAGAATATTGAGTCCTATAAGTTTTATGGGCATCACCAATCTTAATAGCAGCGAATAAGTAGGTATTATAAGTAGCAAGCATTATTATTAGCTGAACTGAGACTTGCAAACCAATAGGTTTAATAGTGTAGCTATTGTCATATCTATTCATTCAACCAGTAACTATTTGTAACTTTAAAGTTATCTCAGCAATAAATAAGTTGATATATTTTTTTAAACTTTAAAAAAGTTGGTTCAATTATCAAATATTTCGTTTAATATAATAATTAATCCATTATTTAATTATAGTAATAACTTTTTGTATCGTAATATGCGTTACTGGGCATACATACTCGAAATTCAACTCTTAACTCTCAATTTTGAATGAATAGAATAATCTACAAATGTACTGCGCAAGTACATACTATAATTACAACTTCGCTAGCCAGACACTCATTAAATTGATCCAATGAATGATGTCATCCTGAAACTTTTTGTTAGATACACTTGAAAACCTCAAGGGCATTCCTCACATGAGCAGATTTCTATTAGTAAAATATATACAGCTACAACAATAAATAGATTCTAATGCAAGACACCGCATAACAATACAAGATTTTTGTGTAAATACTCACCGGAGACAACAAGCGCCTCGTTAGGCCCGCATGTTACAAACCCCCAAGTCATTTCGATAGGCTTGAAAGAAAACTAACTCTGAACAAAACAAATTTAGTAAATTAAATAACTAAATCCATATAATGTTGAATAATATTTATGTCAAAACACAAATCGGCTTCATGCGGAAATGGATGGGCGACACAGGCGACACTTTGAGTGGTACGGTGTTACCATAGTAAAAATATTATGAAACAAACAAAATAATGCTGGAAGCTAGCTTATTGTTTACAACAGAAATAATTGGTCGCTAAATTAGATCATTCTATAGTAAAATATATATTCGAACCTATTTCTATAACATGTTATGGTCGTCTTTTGATAATCCATTGAACATTAATGATGTATTTTGATTTTATTAATATAAGATAAGAACTAGTATAAAAGTTAGAACCGTAAAAATATTACCTACTATAAAACACTAACTGTTGCTTGCGGCTTAATTCGTGTAAAAGTTGAATAAGGCTTTCAAAATTTACTCAATCCCATAATCCTTTAAACACGTATTATTTTCTTTCAAATCATTAGTTGAAATTCAGTGTTCCTCAGATAATTAGATATTGGTGATTTTTAGGTAGGATAAATACTCAAAATAGATAAATAGTGAGAAAATACGCGATGTGTGAACTTATATAAGTCAAAACCACAAAAACTTTCCACAGTTCGTGAAGAGGATGTGCAGAGTATTGATGGTATTCGTTTTAGTAAAACTCAAGATTGTGTCACTAAGTTTTGTGGCAAAATATAAACTCTTATAAGGTATTTATTTGATAATATACCTACCGTGAAATCTATTTCGTTTTCGTTCCAAAGTACAATGTTTCTGTCTTGGAAATAAATACAATAGCTTTACAAAGAAATAAAATGAAAATGAAAGAAATTAAACAAAAAAATACTAGTGTAAGTTAACTTCGAAAGCTCATAATGAACTCATAGTACATTGTCAAAACAACACGCCATGTAATTCTCGAAGAGGTATTTTAAAAAAACGAAATAGATTTCAATTTTAGTGTTACATTGTTCTCGCACAATCCAAACAGCAAAACTATGTAACAAGAGAATTGTATTGTGAACCTGATTGAAAAAGAGTAACCTATCGAGTTTCTTGTTCGTTTTCTTCACTTTAAATTTTTTTGTTGACGTTCAAAAGTGCCTTTCTCGTCTAATTGAAATAATTGATTTTGACTTTGACTTTGAACGTGTATGAATATTTAATTATTGTTTTTATACAGAAAATAAATTAAATTACTTGTATGACAAAATATATATATTAACGCATTGTCCAATAAAAATAACTTTCTAATTAAATTCAGGAGATAGTTAAAAAAATATTTTACTTAACTTTTCTACTTGGTCTAGTACATGTACTCAAATATTTATGGGAAGAGAGATTTTTGTTGTAGCTGGTATCATTTTTGCACCTTGTAACTGTAACTACAAATTGCAGGCAAACGTAAGTACAAGAAATTTTGCAACGCCATTTCAGTTGTTATTGTATGGTGACGCCAAAATAATCTCGAACTTGGTTATCCATGTTTTTCCCGATAAAATAATTTTGAGATTTTAGTATAGTGTAACGGAGATATTTTAAGTGTCAAATCAAATTATGGTATGTCGGTTTAGTTACTTGTTATCAAACGAGATGTCACTGTTGGTTTCTTAGTCGCCTTTTTTGAGTGCTTGGTTTTCGAGTTTGAAATAACCGTAGCGTATGGTACAATCAACAACACTTTGGTAACTGGAATTTAATTTATTATTATTTACTAAATCAAACACGAGATTTAGCAATATGTAGATACTTTTTTATCTAGTTAATTAAGATTTAAATGGAAAAATGTATTCCTGGTGATGACTAAACACAATAGCATCGTAGTTTTCCTAAAAATAGTAGTATGTTTAGTATATAATAGTATAATAAATATACCCATTTACAAAATTACATAAACTACTTTTTACTAACTTTTATTACTTGTACTATATGTAAACACATTTTATAGAATAGACATCAGTTAATCAGATTCGTATTTAGGTATATCATATCACGTATTTTTGATTGTCATTTTGATTTTCAAATCAGTTTTTTAACGTTATATTACGTATCTATCTTACATTGTGTCTAAAACTAATCAATATATCTTAAGTTTAATAAAATATTTTTATTCACGTAGATACCTATACTATTTTTTAAGCGAATTACATTCAAAATGATAGTCATTTCAACTTTAAAGTTCAACATTACACACAATCACAAAACAACTTAAAACTATGTTCTGAAATGAAAAGTGTATAATTTAGACAACAGAAAATAAAAGAAGGTTTTCAAAATTGCAACATTTTTTATTTTTTTCTTCCGTTCCCGAACAAGGATATAAAACGAAATGTCAATATCTAGCTAGTGACAGATGTCATTCGGCAGGACAGGCAGGAATCAATTCACTGAGTACAGGGACAACATTGGTATTGGGACGGGATAAAAAATTCAAATTATATTTTTCGAATTCTGCTGTTTACGTCTAGCGGTAATTATAATCATCATGAACAAGTTAATATAATAGTTTTCTAGTTTTAATAAAAGATATTAAAATGAAATAATTTTAATATCCTCTGTTCATTCAAAAAACGATTTAGCATTTTTTTAAAGTTTGTTTTTATTTATAAGCTTGACGTTTGAGTTCTGAGTTAAATGTTTTATTAAATTTAATTCTCAACATCAATAATATCTTGTTACTTAATTATTTTTCGGTGATTAAATTCTAATAAAGATATTTGTTTACTGTATGTGGGTAACCAGCATCTTTTATTTACAAAAGTAACTTTACTCAGTTTACGTCACATTTGCTTTTTATTTTAAATTCATAATTGTTCAGTTCTTCTTTTGCTTGGTCTGATGTCATTACAATTTTGTAAATATTATAATGTCTGTAAAAATAGTCCTAGTTTTAAGTTTCTAAAAGGTGAAAATACGATAGTATTTTTTTATTTTCAGTGGTTAAAATGTGCTTGAAGCCGTATGGGAAAAAAAACAAGCAAGGTAAGTAGTGTATTTGCAAAACTGTATTAAACTTCTGGTGACACCTGTTGGCCTTTACAGTAATTTTTTGATGTCTTGCAGATGTATGCAGCAATCAGCATGTTATAATGATGAGATATGTGGTGAACAGATGCTGCGCACAAGGTAAGTAATGAATTTGATAATTTTTGGGCCACAAGTACCATTGCAAAACTGAATGAGAATAAATAAAAAAAATCCACTAATAATCACGGGTTACTCACATGAACATACTGAAAAAATTTTATTTATAAGATTTTTTCTTCTGCACTAAGGGTATGGTTCTCAGGCATACTGTATAACTTGAAAATTACTGCTGTTGAAGATTATTAAACTGTCAAACACCAAGCGGTCACCGGTGACCGCGACCTATTGTTCTTTAATTGTGTCTATAAAACGAGTTAATACCAATAGAACATATGTCTCCCCACATTCTACAATCAGGAGTACTGGTTTAGGTGTTAAATATGTAGTCGGTCAAATATAAGTTTGTGGAAGTTCCACATCATACACAAAAGTTCATAATCCCATAAGAAATTAATTGACGGTAAAAGTTAGAATTATTTAAATTTTTTGTTGGTTGGAGGTCCAGTTTTTTTAAGCTTTTGTAGATACATTTTGTTTGACAAAACTTTACACTTTACAGTATTAAGTGTAAATCCACACTATTATTTGACTAACTACATACCTTACCTACTTGTTTCTTTTTTACTGAAGAAAATGTAAACTGCAGGATACCAACTTGTATTTAGATTATATAATATTTATGTATATGCATGATCAATCATGCATCTGGTCACAGAAGCAGGTCTGTTATGAATACTCTGCACCATTTGGTATCTGGAAGGCCTTCTGCATTTCACAGGTATACGGTGTTCTGGAATGGTTCCTACCATTGTTATAGCTTACATCTCTTTTATGAATACTTTGCATATTTAATTCTGTTTGTTTGGCGAAGTGTAAAGGCATTAATTACCCACAACCAAAGGTTTTTTTAACTTACACAAGTTGGTGGGTTTGTTTCATAGTAGATGAGCGAAACTGCTAAATTCTTGGTATATGATGTCAATTCAATACATGATTATATACAGAGTTCTATTAGTACTTTAGATTTTATGCAAACTAATCATGGATGTTGTATAGGAACCCCTCAAATGTTTATTTCAATCTAGTTGCTGGACAGCTACCTCCTGTACTTAAGAGTTTTCCGTAACAATTTCTAGGGCAAGGGTGTGGTAGCAAATGTATTTTACTCTACATCACAACAATCGTTACTGTTATCAAGCACTATGACAATAGATATGACTCCTGTAAAATTAACCGTGCAAAACGTTAGGCGTCGACGTCTTAACACGTCGTTGTCGTTTGGTCTTGTCTACGGCACCTGTCGGGAAGAGTAGGTTTGGTAAAAATGTGATCTACTCAGCATATTATACTACATGTCATGTATTAGTTTTTACCTAACATGAGCATATTATGGCAATATAAATTACAATTTTTGACAGTGCACACCGAGGTTCACAGCTTCTTTTGATGTGATCATAATAATTTATTTGTTAACATAGGTAAAGATTACAGATAATACTTAATACTTTGGTAACAGAGCGCTATATCATGCCAGGAGGCGTATAAATATAGTGTGACGTGGGCAGTAAAAAAATCGGAATCATACTAAAGTAGTCTCTGTACTAAAGCATTAAGTAAAGTAGGTAAAAATATTTAGTCTTACATAAACTTTCAGGTCAAAGCAGACAATTATTGCAAAAATAAAAATCTTCATCAAATAATAAATGAATCAATGTCAAAAATAGTGAAGTACTAAAATTATTCAATAAACATAAATATAAAACAAAAACAATGTCAAAAATAACATTGTCAACGAAATCAAATAATTACAAATAAATTCAAATTCACTTGACATATTTATGTCAAAAAACTATAGTTTTAAATGTCAAAATTAAAT